CTTCGTGAGGGACACGGAGACGGACCGGCAATTTCTAGTCGACACCGGGGCGCAGGTCAGCGTGCTGCCTCGCCGCTGCCTGCCCAACGGGTCTACGCTGACCCCTGCTCCTGTCGGCCAGCAGCTCGTCGCGGCAAACGGCTCACCGATCGCGGTGCACGGCACCTGCCTGCTGGACGTCACCTTGAGTCAGCAGCACCGCCTAAAACATCGATTCTTCGTCACTGACGTCACCACACCCATCTTGGGCACCGACTTCCTGGCCGCACATCACCTCGTCGTGGACGTTGCCAACCAGCGTCTCCTGCGGGACGGCACCGTCTGCGCCAGCGCCGAGCGGTCAAGGCTGTGCTCCATCGGAGTGCGTCTCGTCCGGGAGCAGGCTGCTGCTCGCTTCGCAGCTGTCCTCGCCCGGTACCCGGATGTGACCTCACCAAAACCTGGACCAACACCGGTGAAGCACAACGTGACGCACCACATCGTCACCAAGGGTCCACCGGTGTACCAGCGGCCACGACGCCTCCCGCCGGAGCGCCTTCAAATCGCACGTGCTGAGTTCAACAAGATGCTCCAGCAAGGCATCATTCGACCGTCGAGCAGCAACTGGACAACTCCACTCCACATGGTGCCAAAGAAGAGACCCGGCGAGTGGCGTCCTTGCGGCGACTACAGAGCGCTGAACGCCCGCACCGTACCAGACCGCTACCCGCTGCCGTACCTGCGGGACTTTTCAGCCGACCTGCATGGGTGCACCGTCTTCAGCACCATTGACTTGGTGAAGGCTTACCACCAGATCCCGGTGGAACCTGCCGACGTCCCCAAGACAGCCATCACGACACCGTTCGGCCTCTACGAATGCGTTCGGATGCCGTTCGGCCTCAGAAACGCCGGGCAGACCTTCCAGCGTTTCATGGATGAGGTCCTCCGCGGCATACCGGGCTGCTTCGTCTACCTGGACGACATTCTGCTGGCCAGCCCGACTGCCGAACACCACCTACAGCTCCTGGACCAAGTGCTTCAGCGCCTCAACACCTACGGCGTCGTCGTCAACAGGCACAAGTGCGTCCTGGGACAGGAGCAGGTGGTGTTCCTCGGCCACTCGGTAGACGCCGACGGCGTCCGCCCGCTGCCTGGACGAGTCGAGGCCATCAAAGACTTCCCGGAACCGACCACTCAGTCCCAGCTACGGAGGTTCCTGGGGATGGTAGCCTACTACCACCGCTTCATCCCCCAGGCAGCCGAGCTCCTGCAGCCTCTGCACGCCTTAATCACCCACAAGGCAAAACGCTCGAGAGCGCCTGTCACGTGGACAGACTCGGCGCGGCAGCGTTTCAAGAACGTCAAGGACGCCCTGGCCACGGCGACACATCTCGCACACCAAGTCCCGGACGCGCCGCTCGCCCTCTTCGTCGACGCCTCGGACTGCGGAGTGGGCGCTGTCCTCCAGCAGCACGTCGCCGGCGAGTGGCAGCCCCTCGCTTTCTTCTCGAAAACGCTCCAACCTGCGGAGAAGAAATACAGCACGTTCGGGCGCGAGCTGCTCGCTATCTACCTGGCCGTCCGGCACTTCAAGCACGCCATCGAAGGACGGTCAGCAATCATTTTCACAGACCACCGCCCGCTGGTAACGGCCATCGGCTCCTCGTCCGACCGCTATTCGCCACGAGAGGTCCGCCACCTGGACTACATCGGCCAGTTCGTGTCTGACATCCGCCATGTGCCTGGCAAGGACAACGTGGTCGCCGACACGCTGTCACGCACGGTCTCGATGGTGGCCCAGCCGCGACCCCCGCTCGCCGACTTCGCTGCCATCGCCAAGGTCCAGTCCGAAGACGGCTCGCTGGAAGACCTCGAGGCCTCAGACACCTCACTGCGCCTGCGCCACATCCCGGTCGGCGATGGACTCCGTCTGCTATGCGACGAGTCCACCGGATCGCCTCGGCCGGTCCTCCCAGAGGCGCTGCGCCGGCCCTTCGCCAAGGCTCTGCACAACCTGTCGCACCCTGGCGTCGAGGCCACCGTCAAGCTCGTCTCTAAGCGGTTCGTCTGGCCCGGTATGGATCGCGACGTGCGCCGCTGGACCCGAACCTGCCTCGCCTGTCAGCGCTGCAAAATCGGCCGGCACACCAAGTCTGACGTCGGCACCTTCCAGCCACCTCAGCAACGCTTCGACCACGTCCACGTGGACCTCGTCGGCCCGATGCCTCCGTCAAGAGGGCACTCGTACCTCCTGACGTGCGTCGACCGGTTCACTCGGTGGCCAGAAGCCATCCCTCTGCCGGACATCCGCACCACCACGGTCGCCCGCGCCTTCCTCGAGCACTGGGTCGCCCGATTCGGCGTTCCGTCCATCATCACGACGGACCGAGGCGCCCAGTTCGAGTCGGCCCTCTGGTCGGAGCTACAGCGATTCCTGGGCTGCCAGCGAACTCGGACGACGTCCTACCACCCGGCCTGCAACGGTATGGTGGAACGCCTGCATCGCCAGCTGAAGGCCAGCCTCCGTGCACACCAGGCTACGTCATGGACGGACGTGCTGCCGCTGGTGCTCCTGGGCATCCGCTCCACCATCAAGGCGGACCTGCAGGCGACGTCAGCCGAGCTGGTGTACGGCTCCTCACTGCGGCTTCCCGGCGAGTTCTTCATCACCAGCCAAGCCTCAGCAGCCTCACCGGCCGGTTTCGTACAGGACCTGAAGCGCGCCATGTCTCAGGTGCGGCCGACACTCCCACGTCCGGTCCAGCGCGCCACGTACGTCCCAACGGCACTCCAGACGGCGACACACGTCTTCGTGCGCAGGGACTGTCACCGCTACCCGCTGGACGCTCCATACGACGGACCGTTCCCGGTTACCGAAAGGACCACCAAAACCATCACCATCGACCGTCGACAGAAAAAGGAGGTCATCAGCATCGACCGGTGTAAGGCCGCCTTCCTGGAGACGCCAGACGAATCCGGTCATCGACAGTCTGATCTGCCGACTGTGCAGCCGCACGGTACTCAGTCCAGCGGCCCGCCGGCCGCGCCACCGCTCAGCAATGAGCCCAGCGGCCCGGAGCTTCTGATCTACGGTGACGCACCAACTCGCCCTGCAGCCGTCGCTCGGGCTGACGCTGCACCATTGCAGCCTCGGCCGATACTACGGACGACCCGCTCCGGCCGCGTCATACGACCTCCGGTAAGATATCGCCATGTCACTTTTGTCCGCGACATGTCTGGCGAGGGGGTACTGTAGGGATCATCTATGCGATTTGTCATCTATGCGATTTGTCATTTCATGTTGTCATTCTCATTTATATTGTCACCGCTGTATTAATCAATCTGTTACCTGTTGTCAATTGCGCGTCAAGTTTGTTTGTTATTTGTAAACCGGCCTGCCGCTGGCCTCAACCTTCCTAGTAACCGCTGTGCCATACGCTATAGAACGTGTCGTGCAAAGGTCACGGAGGCACCCCTGAGGCGGCCGCTGCCCGTACGTTTAGGAACCCATTGTCGTGACGTCATGCCTGTAAGCAAAGGTCGCGGTAGGGGCTCTCCCGGCAGCCGGACGATGACGCATACGTTAAGCTTGTCTCTCGCCGCGCCTGCGGGCATATTGGTAGTACTAGGGACGGCCAGCATATGACCGCGGCTTTCGGCGACATTGTCAATTCATTTCTCGACTGCTGTTCGCTACAAGACAAATACACATAGAAAACGGCTCGGGCATTTGGAGAAGAGCGGCTACTCTGAGGCGAGGGAAGAACACGGAGATTCACACAAACGACCTGACTAGGTTGCACCGGCCACAGTCGACCGAGGTGGGCTTCCGCGCCCTTAAAGACGCCTCTGACTGGCCATTGCGCTGACACCCTGGTCGGACCACGGTCATTGATCGGACCCTGCCACTGGTTCGTGCTCAGGCTGCCTTAGCGGGTAGACCTGCTCGACCAGACGCCCCACTGGTGGGCGAGTGCTCGGTTCCGACTTTCACCGCCGGTCCAACAGCGTTCTGCTGGTTCCCGCCGATCCGGTTACGACACCGCAAGTGCCGTACCGACTCGGGCGTCCCAGGTGGGCGTAACGGTTACCACACCAGTTCGCGACTCCCAGGCTCTGTCAGCCGTCGTACGGCTCTCGGACGGACACTCTAATAGATCAGCCACAGATCAATAGGTTGTCACAGACCGTCCGTCCAGCCAAGCGCTACCCACAGCGCAGTACGACAATCTGAAACTATCTCAAGCATATAGAATCATGATTTCATGCACTTTTTGCAAGGTTCTATGCTTCATATTTGCATTGTTGCCCTTGCGTGACGTTATCTGTGACGTCACAAGGGTCACAATTTTTCTTCAATAACTCCCGATCAAATTGAGCTAGCGAGTCGGGAAAGCCACCAATGGACTCAGGAAGGCCTGCCGAATCGAATGATATGCGACATGACCTCTTTCGACCAGCTTCGTGACCTGGGGGTGCTGACCTGACCTTGACCTGAGGTCAACACCCTAAGTTGACCTGACCCGAACAAAAAGTATATCACTCGATGCGCCTGAGCTAGCTGAACACGATGATGCCAAAATCGCGGCTCTACGGCCATTTTTGGCGAAGCTATTTACCAAAAAGCGAACCCGTGCCTTAGATCACTTGACCTGACCTCAGAGGTCACCGGTTGACCTGAGACCCTTACAGCGGGTTCCTACCAGTCACTCTGCATTATAATTTGCCGCATACGACCACTTTACCGCTTAATTCTAGTTTAATTAGCGGTGCATTAGCGAGGTGGGTTCAATCAACCCCCTCGGCCGGGGCAAATGTAGGTCAGGCGAGTGAATTTGAGGAATTCTGAAGATACGATCGTGTTCCCCACTCAATTCTGCGTAAGATGCCGGGTTCCGTATCTACGTAACTTGAACGTAACGGATACGGCGGCCGCAAACGTAAATCGAGGTCCCGAATTCCCTATTCCTCAACACAGGCGGCAGCCGGTTTCTGGTCTACGCAATATGGCCGCCACCGTTAGACACTACGGCCAATAGGGTTGAAGCGGCATTGCTCCCCTGTGCTGCTGCGTCACCAACAACAGTGCCCAGTGGTCACCAAGCTCATCGACTTGTGAAAAGATTTCGGTATTTATGCGAATTGCAAGGCCCTATATAACGATTTATCACCGATTTTTGCGCTGAGTTTATTGGTCCATGCTCCAACTGGTATGCTTCGTTTTTCTCATTGTAAAATAAGAGGAAATTGAACTTGAACTGGAAGAGCGAAAGCCAAGGTCAAGGTGGATGTTGAGAGCTGACTTGGTTGAGACCAATAATATAAATGAGCAATTGACATAATACATTGATCCTACTCCAAACTTCAACTTCAAGGAAGGTATGTACCAAGGCTATAGAACTCTATGTACCTTATTGCTATCATATACACAGAAGTGTGACACCTGCTTTATGACTACCTTGATGTCTTAGTAATTCAATCTGTAGAAAAAATGCTCCTTGGCCCTGTTTCAGGTTACTTGTCCCAATGCTATAGTGCCCTATGCTCTGCTACTGTCTTGGTGCAGCAGCCAGCATTTGAGACAAAGTCACCTTGGCGCTCTGGCGTTGTGAGCATCCGAGTTTGTTGATGTTTCCATGAAAACCCTATATGGGTGTCTATGCGCATAGCTCTCAGTAGCATTGTGCTGTGAGACAGGGCCCTTAATCGTGCAATGCAACCTGCTGCTAAGTGCTAGGTACCCAGTATTAGTAGTCAGTAGTTCGGTACCAGTGCAAGCTAATCAATTTGCTTGGAATCATATTTCATAAATAACTTGGCAAGTATGTGCATGTAGATCCAGGCAGTCTCAGATGCTGCTGATAGCATACTCCGCAAAGACTTTCTCCAATAAAAATAAAAAACTCAGATTTAAATTTTAAATTCCTCACAGACTCCTGCGACCTGCACAGTATAAAACTAACTGTTCCCAATAAAAGTTGATTTGTTTTCTTTCTATTCTTGATAAACCGTAAATTTTCATAGATGATGGGTGCCATGGGGGGGGGGGGGGGCAATTGCCCCAAATTCCTCCCTGGATCTGCCAGTGAATTGAAGCACTAACACCTACTTGGTGCCAGCAAGAGGCATCGTACTGTTAGCAGTGCCAGGCTGCCACCCATCCTTCTTGAAATTGAAGTGCCTTTATTAGTTTATTCTGCCAGTACAGTTCAGATAGTAATGCATGACTGTGTGCCACAGCCTATAAGTGTAGTGTGTATATAACTCAAAATAATGAATTAGATACTACTAATGAGAGTATACTCAGTTCCGAAATGTAATAAACGTAAACCTAATTCCAGACTGGAAAAAATTGATGTTAGGTACCGTTGACAATTGACATGTCCAGTGTAAAGGGCGGATTGCGTCGAAATTTCAGCACAGCGTTCAGCGTAACTCCGTTCACCGAAATTTCGGCGCACGGGTGGATGAAGAAATTTCGGCATAAACGGACGATTTAAGAAATTTGGGTGCAAGACGAGTTTTAACCTCAGCCAACTTCAATCACTGCACTTTACATTCGAATCATACACCCGATTCGATGACGAGTATGTAATGTTTATCCAAGGCCACCCGGTCCCGAGCCCACTGGGCTGACTTTTGTGACAACACTCTGGACGATTGGGATGCGGACTAAGATGCGGACCGGGCTGGTTGATCTTCGGGCTCCTAACCGCTGAAGTTGTGTAGGTATGGAGTGGAACGTGCCCGAGTGAGGCGACTGGCGTTGCAGCCAGTCTTTAAATGGGGTTTCGAAGGACTCGAGAAGACTGATTGGACTGCTAGGCCTGAGAGCCTTGATCATGCCCTGTAATGTAGCGTGATCTAGCTAGTTTGTTCGCCGAGTCTTGTGAAGAGAAACACAGAAATTTTGCATGCAGCTCAGTATGATCAATGATCGAAGTTCAGTGCTCCAGAATCCTGGATGATTATCCAGTTCAATGGTCTAACAACCGGTGCTGACGCTATGTTGAGCGTTATTCCCGATATTGATATGCCCTTGAATTGAGTGGCGTAATGCCTAGGAATGCCCTTCCGCGCCTAGGATTGCAACATTCAGTCAAAACACTTTGATATTGAACTATGCTGCTGAGAAATACAGGAACTTTTGGTCAAGAAATTCGTAAAACTGTTTTGTGGAATGTTGTCGAGAAACACGTGGAATGCCGCCCATCGAACGCACCTTGTAACTACAATGACTGACCTATTGCATCGTCCTGTGTCTTGCTCTCCACACATTTAGTGTAAGGCGATGCGGCGACATACGCACTGAAAAGTACCTACCATATTTGTACATTAGCTCGTAGCTGGCTATGCTTATCATTATAACTCTCTTATTGACTTCTATTCGTTTTTACACCGCTGATGATTTGTTTTCTGTACAGGCCTGTAAAGATGTTTGCGGCAAAGCTGTTTAAACGTGGTTCAAAAAAGGTTTAGTATATAACCCGTCTTCTCTCTCAAAACTGCATGTCATGTTTGTGTTAGTACCTGTTATAAACGCATCATATTTGTTGAAGATTGAATCATTGAATCGGCTGATCATTAGTCAACGCTTACCCCTTCATCGTGTCCCGCAGCTAGAATCATAGATAAGCATGACAACTGAGGATTTGAAAACATACGGACCTCTAGTTCGAGCTGTTGTAACTTTGTAAATAACTTTGTCATGGTCGAACTTTTATTTAATTTAACTTTTTTCATTGCAAGATAAGGCTGCATAAGTATATTTTGAATTAAGGCTTACGTAGTTCGCCGTGATCTGTCCCGTAAGTGGACAGTCACTCGACTCTAAGCTGGAGGCGGAGCCCTGCTGGAGAACAGTCAATGGCCCCGAATACGTGAGCAAGGCAAATGCGTATTACAAACGGACTGTAATGCTGAGCGAATAGGAACATCCGTTTGTGATACGCATTGAATTGCTCATGTATTCGGGTTCAGTGACCATCTGTGACAGCTGAGTGGCACAGCCGAATATCTCTCCGTCCACACCGTTCTCCTGTCACCATGCTGTCCATTCGCTGATTCAATCTTCAATGTGACAACTTTGGGGTTTTTTACATTGATGATTTTTTCCTTTGATGATTGATGTTTTTTCGATAATTGATATTTTGTCTACTAATCTGATGAACTAGTGGCTGTTTTGACACGCATCATTGACGCTTCATTGAATATTAAACAGCATGCGCAAAATGTCATGATTGTTGCTATCGCTTTTTACAATAGGCTGTCTTCGTTTTTTTTTTATTTAGTCGGACCTCTCTCCAACGGGCTCTTGTCCCAATTATAGGAGAGAGCACCTGCTCCTCCCGCCGTCCCATTCCCCACCCTCCAGGCTACGGCTGAAGTGGGAGCCTACCCCACACCTGGTGACACAGCCGGGGACGACGCCCGCGGAACGGGCGGAACCGGGAATCGAACCCGAAACCCAGCACCGCCCGCACCGCGGGTCGACGCCTTAACCCGGCAGTTGCTGGGGTATTTCGCCACCCACCGTTTGCTGGGGGGGGGGGGGGGGGCGTTAAACGCCCCCAGCCGATAATTCGAGAACCAATAGGCGCAGCGAAACGCACGAGGCGGCAAACGAAAGAGCGCGACGAGACGCTTCAGATGAGTACTTTAAAGTTGAATTTTGAGGTCACAGGTCGGGTCAAGGTCAGGTCAAACACCTGAAATCGGGCTTTCAGTAGCATGGATTTCAGGACTTCGCAATGGGCGCCTCTCGTCATAAACTCTGTCAAAACGGTGCACAATCCATCATATAAGGCCTACAAGAGTGTCAGCTCTATGTAGGGGTCAATCAAGCATAGGTCAGGGTCAAGGTCAGGTCAACCGGGTAGGCACATATCCCCGAAAATCAAAACTGATATTCGTAGCCTGTGACACATATGTTATGGATTTGGGGCGTAGAACACGATGGTGACATTCATTTTATCATATGTGTACGTGTTTGGCTCAAAAAGTTCAATTCAAGAAATGCATGCATCATGGTCGTGAAGTTAGTCACGAGAAATTGCCAAGATTCAGTTCAAGATTTTGGGAAATGCGGAACGATAATCAATAATTGAAGATAGCCATCTGATTGTGCATGGTATTGGCAGTCTAATGGCGTTTACGGCATGTCTGTATGTCTATTCTGTGATTTTATATGATTTTTTGAACATATGCCGTTTTTGGTCGAAAACTCAGAAATAATGACGTCACCAAAACCTCGATATCTCAAAAATTTTCCGATCGATTTTTTTGAAACTTTGGCACAATAAACTTAAATCGATTCCCTACAGGTGCCCAAAATTTGGCGCGCCTGCGGCGCGCCGTTTTTATGTTATGGCCCGGCGAAAAAAGTGGGGGCGTTTAACGCCCCCCCCCCCCCCAGCAACTCGCGGGTTAACCGACTGCGCCACCACGGCCGCAAACAACAAAGGTAGCAAAAGTGCGACGACATTGGCCACTGTACCGTTAGTAGGTAAACTGTCGGCAAGACGCGGATCAGAACCGAACTTAGAAACACAAAAGCCAGTGTTTATTTGACTTTTTTAAATGAAGTTGTTTTATAAAATGAACTTGCATCTATTTTTAAACTCAATTGTTGGTTTCTCCAGTAAACATGCCTTCTTGTGCTACACAATGAGGAATGCTTATTTTTGAGCGCTGACACAGATAACAGTAGTACTACTGTTATCTGTGGCGCTGACAATCTAAACACCTTTCAATCTCAAGTTTTAAGTCATTTAGATAGGAGTTGAAAGTATTTTCGCCAGATTATACTTGGTGGTTGGTTGGTAGGAAAGGGATGTTTGCCGCAGATGGTTGTGTTCCAAGGATAGGGAAAAACTTCAATAATATCAATTGGCTTGTACCTAATTGTTTTGGGGTGAAGATAATTGATTGGCTGCCCAACCAACTTCATCTCGCCAATATGTTATGTTTTTCACTGTCTGTCCTCTTTCTTTGGGCCTTATCTATCTCATCTATCTGTATCATAATTCCTAACATGGCTTATGTCTGTGAAATCCTCGCCAAATTTGGCGCTCAGTCTGTACGATTTATTTTGTCCACAATAATTGCTGAAGTAGACATCGCACGCTGCCTCCGCTGCACGCTTAAAAGTCAGTGGCGCTCGGCCCCGCACCAGAGCCTGCGTACGGGCTCAATTGTTGTACATCCCGGCTTCAGTGCCGGCCCTCTTGTGTCATACTTTCTCAAGAACAAACTTTTATATCTCTGCTGACCTTTCGCTATGCTTTTCAATCGACCGAATCGTTTAAGACAAAAGTCGGCGCTAAGTTGCATTTTTAAAATCCGTCTTCCTGCTGCCCTAGTTTTCTTGGCTCCAACGTAACCTACTGTCTAGAAATGACCCCTCTATTCGCGTGGTGTGACTGACTTTCGCCCGGTCGCTAGACCGCGCCGGTAAGACGGGCTCGCTCGGTGACACTCCTCTGTCACCAGGCGGACGATAAAGGCTCCCCGGAGCCTGAGGAGCAGCAGGAGCCGGATCAGGAGCCGGAACAGGAGCAGGATCAGGAGCCCGAGGAGGCAGAGCAGCCGCTGGGGGCGGAGGGACCTGCGCCGATCGAGCACGAGGCGGCCGCTGACATCATGTCAGACGAGGAGGCTGTCATGGAGGGAAAGGTACGGCCGACGGGGCACGGCCACGGCGGCTGTGGGACTGAAAACATTAACCGGAGCTGTTGTTTGTTTACTCTGTACCCAATGACAGGAGTATGTAGCTGCTTGCTCTGCAGTTTTGTACCCATTGACTATTCTGTCTTATCTGCTGTTGTGACTGTACTTGGTAACTGTACCTCTTGTTCATTGTGCCTGTACAATTTACATATATTCTGTTGTGTCTGTGCGTAATGACTGTGGTGTCTATACCCACTTCACGCTTACATCCGATGACTGATGTGTCTGTATTCTGTTTGTGTCCGACTTAGTGACTCTGTAAGTAATCTGTATATTCTATACTCTGTACCTACCCACTGACGACAGCTTCTGGCCGGCTCTGGCCCGCCGACGGCCGAGGACGATGGTGCCGGTCGCGCCGACAGCAGCGGTGCTGAGGACACAGAGGAAGCGGCTAACGCGCCGCTGCGCCTCGACCAGCGCTCTGATACTGAGGTGGTTGGCAGACCGTCCGCTGGGCGCGCACTGCCAGCCGGCCGTGTGCGCTCCACGTGTGATGCCTGTGTGCTGCCCTGTGTGCGCTACCCTAGTGTGCTGCCTGTGTGTGCTGCCCCTTGCTGCTGACCAACCTCTGTAGATGTGTGCAGTAGTTGACCCTGCCGAAGCGAATGGTGAAACAGCGCTTATTTCTTTTCGAATAGCGCTGCTGTTAGCCTTGGTTTCAAGGTGGCCCTCTGATTGACTTGCCAACTGGTAAAGCTAAATAAGGATGGATTTGTGTGATTATAAATTCATGCCTGATCTGCATTGCGTGACTGCTATACTGCTTGCTTTGGTTTGTAAACATGATGTTTTGAGCTAATGAACGTTAAAGGTAGTGTGCCAGCTTTCTTGGACCGTATGGAGTTAATGGCCCAGATAAGGAGAACCGGATTTTTAGAACTTATCCATACCTTCAAAACTCATGGAAACGTCTTAAATTCTTCAAATTTTGAGTACCCCAGTGCGAAATTCGCCCCGACGGGTTGTCGGTCGTACCCCAACCACATTTCACACCACTATGAACAATAAATGCACACACTGAAATCGCTATTACCGATATGCTCATCCAATCAAGTTTCGATAAACCCGTTCATCATCATCTGCGGTTTCGAACATGCCTGTTAGGTGGCTTCTGATGCTCGTCGGGGTCGGAATTTCCAAATACGCGTGGTGCGTCGGGCCGCGCGCTCTGACTTCGGCCAAGAAAAATGCGTCAGCTGATCATTGTCATTTCTGCCACTTGCGTGTGGTGAAATGGGGTCATAACTTATAAGACGGCTTTTTCATATCAATTATTTTACATAAAATCATATTTCAAACCATAAATAATGTTCGACAGCCAAATAAAAGAAACAATACCAATACGGGCTTACAGTTTAAGGCTCGACATTGTGTTGTCTACGATTAGACAGCTGATAACTCATTCCCGTACGTCGTATGGTCGTAACACTATAATGACCTTTGCTTATTGTCACAAGTGCGCCGCATTCGCGATTGTTGCCCGACGCCTGTTTGCAGGTGAGCCCACTACAGTTGTTATACATATCTAAAAACCGAAAAACTTTTAGGCGAAAAAGGCACTATTCCAGGCCCATTTTTGATTTTTTTTTTGCGATATTAGGTAAAAACAGAAGCTTCTTATCCTAGGAAAAATAAAATGGGAAATCTTTCAAAGGTGGCACACTACCTTTAACCCTATTCCTGGCGGGCTCCGCCGGGACAAGAAACTGGCGGGGGGGGGCCGATTCGGCCCCCCCCCCTGAGATCTCGAGAACGAAGCAAGATAGCGACAAGCGGTAAACGGCATCGGATACGCACGGCCAAGATCTACAATTTTTACTAAGGTCATTTTCAGGTCAGGTCAAAGATGACGTCACAGGGGTCGAAAAAGTCAAAATGGCGGCACTAGATATGGAGAGAGTTTTTCTCGAATAACTTTCGAATTAGTCAAGATAGGAACAAACTAAGGGCATCATCGTAATCCTCTCGTCAATCCGCATCGAATGATATATATGTTGACCTCGAAAGGTCAAGGTCAAAGGTTGACCTCAGGTCACGTGACCTCGAGGTCATCATGTATATCATTCGATGCGTCTTGACGAGCTGAACACAATGAGACCATCCACGCGTCTGTATCTTGTTCCTGTACGGAGTTATTGGCCAAAAACCTTTGGTGACCTTTGATGACGTCACATGACCTCACAGCTGCCCAACAGCAAAACAGACCTCAAGGTAGTGAAGGTTGATCGTATATGAAGTCATGTATGGTATATGGGGCCATTCCGACCCGTTTTAGTGGTAAAAACAGGGAGTTGATTTTTCCCCCATTGACTTATAATGGGGAGGTCGCGAAATTGACCTGACCTTAGGTCACCGATATCAAAATTCTGAGATATACAAATTGCACATACTGGTACCCTAACTAAACCCTGAAGAGAAGAAATTGATCGGTCAAAAACTCTAGCTCTGGCGTGATTGCAAACTTTTCTGAGGTAGCGTCACCAAACCGCCTCTGGTGACCTGACCTGAGGTCAGATCAACTCAAAATTTTCAGACATGTTGCGTAGAAGCCTTTTAGGAAAAGTCAGAAAATTTGAGCTTCCTAGCTCAACGCGTTTGGGAGATATAACCAAAAAACCTCAGGGGGGGGGGGGCTCCTGAGGCCCCCCCCCCCCGCCAGGAATAGGGTTAAGTATATTACCGCTACGTATCCATTGGCTGAATATGAGTGTTTTAGAAGTGTCATATGATATTTACACCCTTACATTTCAATTTACTCTTGTAGATGAGTTATGGATGCAGCCGAAAAGTCATCTGTGAATAACGCAATGATGTTTGTGCCTTGCTGTAACCTATATTGCGGTGTGTGTGCCCCAGTTCCCAATTTTACCCTTTGCCTGTGCTCCTGCATGCAGTGCGCACCTGGTTACTTGGGCGGACGTCGACTTTTATGTTGGTAGTTCCATACCTTTCTCAAACGCCCGCAAAATACGTGTTACCTGTAGAACTGCATTGGCAATGTTTGTTGTTCATATTATCTATGAATCTATATATTTAAAACCCATATTATTTATCCGTGAATGTGCGTCATTGGCGTGATACCACGCATTCGTAAAATGATTTCATGTTAATTTTATTCTTACCGGGATCTATGTAAAGGGCATCGGTGTTGAGAAAAATGAATTGATTGCTCTAAAATTCGCTATTAATTTCGCTTCCGGCTTCGGTGTAAAAAAGAAAAACTCGTCTAAAGGCTGAAACAGACTCTTTACGCATTCAGAAAATCGCATGCGAGAGCCTATTCAAATACATTATAATTCTGCCCGCATCAATTGCATGCGGGAGGTGCGTACAATTGATGCGAACGTGCCTCCATGCATTTGAATAGGCTCTCGCATGCGATTTCCTGACTGCGGAAAGAGTCTGTTTCAGGCTTAAGTTTAGCTCTCAATTTTGCTTGGGGCGTATATCGGATGTGCTGCGTTTTCCGATGCACTGTACTCCGTTGTACTGCGTTATCGCTGTTGGGTTCATACAATTTGCGTGTATACGATTACCTGTGGCTCTCTCACATGCACTATCCTCTACCCCGAACCCAAGCTACCCCTATCGCTCTCCCCAGCTACCCTCTGACCCCATCGACCCCCGCTGACCCCAGGAGATGCCTGCTGACGAGGGACCTCCGGCCGACGAAGACGAGGATGAGGACGACGTCCAGAGCGCGCGCATTGAGGGGTGAGCGGGCGATAGTACGGTTAATCGGTCAGGGAGGGGTGCGAGAGGTGGCGCTACGGTCAGCTCTCCTCGGAGGGTCAGAATTTCCCAGGACAGTGAGCGACCATTATTTCACCCAGTACCCATTACTCCAACAGCTATCTCATGTATCCTGCACTGTACTTCACCTTGTGTCCCCTACTCGGTTCTGTCCTGTATCCCCGTATTCCTTATCATGTCATACCTATGCCCTGTATCCGACACCAGATTGCCTGTCCTGACTCCTGTCTCCGCCCTTTTCCTCCTCTGCAACTGCAGAGCCGATGAAGTGGACACGATGACTCTCGAGGGCGCCGCCGAGGTGCGAATGCCGCCAGCGTCCAGCGGGTCGCTCAAACAGCCCTTCGACTCTGAGCGCACTCGCGGCGCGCGCAGCATGACTCTAACCCGGGACTCTGGCGCCGAGGTACTCGACGAAAACGGCACGCCAGCTCCGGAGGCGGTTCCCGAGGAGCTGCGAGACAACGTCTACGGCACGCTCAAGATCGCCGATGATGGAAATATGACGCTGGAGGCGTACGACCGACCGGCCTCTGAGACCGAGACAGCTGAGGGAACTCCCAGTCAGCTGCGCGTGCAGGCCATGATGCGTGCCGAGGCGCCGCCGCAGGCCACACCGTCCTCGCTGCGGCCGCGCGGCATGTCCATTGAGAGGTGGGAGCGACCGGAGAGCTACCACTTGGCTTTCCCAGTTTTGAATGCCAATTAATGTTTGATTGGAATGGACCGTCTGCAACCTTGGGTTATTGATAATTTGGACAATTTATTTTAATCGAGGCTGATTTTTTTTTCGTACATTTTACGTTTGCTCCATATCTCAATCAGTTTCCTTTATTATGCAATTGCCCTTGTCCTCACCTGTCCCAGTTTCATGTTATCATTGTCTGTTCTGTGTCGGAATCCGTCAGGCTCTATCCTACCCGTTCCCATGCCGTATCCCCTGACTGTGTTCGACACCGGCGGCTTCATCAGGTCGCCAGAAATGGAGGTGAACATGCGCCAGCACCTGCCGCCCGGGCCGACCATCTCGCCCGACCAGCAGAAGCTGCTTGACGAGCTCGGCATGCAGGCGGGTCCCACCGGCTTCAGCAAGACCAAGGAGGTCCACATGCTGGCCTCGGACGTCATGATGGAGACGATGGAAGCCAAGCTGGTGCGTGCTGCCCTCTGTTGGGAGACCCGCTTTCAGAGCCAGTGAAAGCATTGCTCCGAGGCTTTATTGTGGGCTGAGGGTTCCTTGCGGCAATTTGCGGGACAAATGCGAACACGGCATCTGGACTGAATGCTGAGGATGTCTAGCATTTTTTTTACGCCTCGTATGATCTGTTCTGTCCTGTCCTATCTTGTTCTGTCGGGCTGGCGTGTTCTTATCTTTGACCCCTTGCTGCCGATCTACCGTGGCGTTCCGTGCCCTGTCCTGCCGTGCCCTTACGTACCCTGCCTCCACCGTGTCCTGCGCAGTGTCCTGGCCTTGTCCTGACCTTCCCCGACCATTCCTCTCCTCTTCCTATCCTCAGGGCATCTCCTGGCGCCGCGACATGGACCGAGAGGAGGCCATCGACGAGGCTCGCGCCCAGTACTACGAGCATTTCGCCGGCCAGGCCATATTCAAAGAAGTTGGCCTCAACGAGCCGTAATTATACCCGTCTTTTTTCATCCGCCCTAGCCCTGCGTTGCCCTTCTACCTGCCGGGCTTTGTATATTCATTCTACCTGCTGGGCCTGGCTATACAGATAACATAGCCAGAGGAGAGTGGCGCTTTGGGTCGGGGCATGACATACGGGATTGCGGCGCACGCTAAGATGTCTAGTCTGTCTTGCTGTCAGTGTTACCCTTATGCCACGCTCTGATCAAGATTTCTGTCTAATCGCTAGCTGTTAGCACCGAAGAGTGCTTTTCTCACCATATCGTGAGCTGTTTGTGATTGATGTCCCTCCTCTCACAAGAGCGTGCGATCAAACCGACCAACTATCGAGTTCGAGCACCAGGTTTCATCTCTTGTCTTCTTCTATTGTCTAGCCCTTGACACCCCCCCCCCCCCCTCTTTTCCGATCAGAGCATACGATCCGGCCGACTACGAGCATCTCACAGTTCCTCCGGAGATCGCCCAGATGTTCCAGTTCATCACTAGCTACACGCCGCAGACCATCGACCTCGAGCACAGACTGAAGCCGTTCATTCCCGACTTCATCCCGGCCATCGGAGACATCGACGCGTTCATCAAGGTGGAACGGCCCGACGGCAAGGCGGACTCAATTGGTGAGAAGTGGAATGGTGATGGGCTGAAACGGAGCAGGCTGCTCAGATGAAGTGCACTATGTGGGCTCGGTTGATCATGTTTTCTTTTTTATGCGGGACGTGACTGTGACGGTTTTTAGTTTTTTATTGCGTCGGTTGTGTTTAACATAGTAGCAGACTCAGCAAATTGTTTTGTATTGCCACCGAGCATGACAGAATGGCCAGAGCCAGCTAGGGTGAATTTTTATTATTTCACGATGTTCAGTTGCGTCACCCAGCCTCCCCCGCCTCTCGTCCCGTCTCCCGCCGTATCGACTACCTCTCTAATCTCAGTGTCGGTCGATGGGCTCCGATCGGCTCGGCCCCACGCCAGGAGAGGTCCGGTACTCCGGGCGGACCGGACCCGTGAGTCGCTCCGAGACCAGTCTGTCGGACGACCTGACCCTCCCGCCTGCCATGCCAGGTCTGTCTGTGCTGGACGAGCCGCGCGCTCAGCAGAGCGATAAGAACGTACTGGATCTCCAGCTGCGTGCTGTCGCCAAAACCACTACACATAAACAGACGACTGTGGCCAGTGTGCCCAACGCCGACCGTAACCACAAGGCCGTGGAGAAGTGGATCAAAGACATCGGCGACCTGCACAGGTCCAAACCGGCCCCGTCCGTGCACTACAACAAGTGAGTAACTTAGCCTCTTCTCTCTTTCATAGCTCTCTGATAGTTAGTTTGCCCAGAAAAGAAACGTATTGCCTATAGCCTTTAGGTGACGTGGACTTCAATACCTCCGATGAAGTTCAAAATTGAGTGAATGTGAGTTTTTGCTATTTTTTTCTCAATCGTGTTGTGAGGTACCCGTGTAGAGCTCTTTTACGAGGGGTCATTTAATTTTGCCGTAAGTTAAGTATTTAATTCTTATGTAGGATCACTTGTTCTCTGCTCTCGGGACTAGGTCTTACTTTGCTTTCCTTTGGATGTTCTCTGTTTCTACTTTGTTTGCTCAGGCAGAAGAAATGAAAAATGGACAACAGTGAAACTAGTAGTATGCCGGTTGCCGACCCGACGTAAATAAGGCTCAGGTTTCGGGCTGTCACCCACACTTTTGCGCTGGCTTTGTCATTTGCATTCATAATGCATAATTTGGACATCTATATCTGCTGTGAAAACGGCGGGCATTCGCTGGCAATTCAGCCAAGCGTTGACACGCCTTCAATTGATATTGTTATACCTCAGGCCGATGCCGGATATCGACTACCTAATGCAGGAGTGGCCGGCCGAGTTTGAGGAGGTCCTCTCTAGCACACACCTACCGACGGCTGACCTCGACTGTGACCTGGCCACCTACGTGGATATCATTTGCAGTGAGTTGGGGCAGAGGGGTTGTACTCGACTGTGACCTGGCCACCTATGTGGACATCATATTCTGCAGTGAGTGTCGGGGGGGGGGGGACAGGGAGGGGTCCTCGTCTGTGACCTGGCTACATATGTGGACATCATCTGCAGTGAGTGTCGGGGGAGGGGTGTCGGTTCATCTAGTGTTTGTGTCTTGTCAATGATAATTTATGTTGGCTGGCAAAAGTAAAACACCAATTATTGGGATTCTGTATTGTGCGAAATTGCGATGCTTTGGTTTTTAGCTCCGGCCCTTTTGTCTAGCGAGACCATTGCAGAACCAAAAGGATGATAATGAGTTATGGTGAGACGCTGGTTTGGGCGGACAGCCTGATGCGCTGCCGAGGCTGAGCCCGTCACGAGGGAAAGGTCACTCATTCTTGCAAACGCCGATCCCGTAGCTCAGTCGGTAGAGCGTTGGACTCCGCGTGGTGAGAGCACACGTTCCTGGTTAAAACAGTCCGGGTTCGAAGGGCGACGGGCGCTTGACATTTATGGGCCTCCTGACAGGTATGGTTGCGGTTGGTGGCAGGCCGTAGCCAGGTGAAGTCAGTGAGCGGACCGGCCGTGCGCGGCTATGTGCGCACGTTAGACTTTGGACTCCAAATTCTGCCATGGAGCCGGAATTGCGCAATCTGAGGGTAGAGGGTAGGGTCAGCGCAACAAGCTTCGCTCAGCGCGGCTCTGTCCTTGTGAATCCTTCCATTCAAAATGTTATGACTAAAATTAAAATAATAAAGAAAATTGACACCCCGCCGCACAGGAACTTATTATGATGGGAACTACTGGAGTAGGATGAGTCTGACCGTCCATCCCGAGACAGGGCTGCGAGGCGTGAAGGAGCTGGATTTTACCGTGATGGTGGCTAAAAAGGATCGTGTATTTTCCTCTCCCTGCTTTAGCTTTCGTTGACCTGATCATTTTCAAATATGATTTTATGTACGCCGATGACCATGACTGCAGTCTGGGCATTTTAAACCCCCCTTAAGTTAAGTCATCAGTATCAATGTGTCTTCAAGGCCGTCTTCAGTTGTCTGTTTTTCTTTGCTCAGTAGGTGACAATCCGTGTGTGTTGCAGGCATCATGGACATTCCGGTGTACAAGTCCAAGGTGCAGTCCCTGCATGTGCTGTTCACGCTCTACAGCGCCTTCAAGCAGTCGGGCCATTTCGGTCAGCAGCCGGAGGCCAACCCCAACTATCAACAGATGACCCTGTGAGCGCCCGACTCCGCCGGCGGTAGGGAGCGCTGCTGATCCGCCGCCCGCGCGCTGCCGTCGCGGTCTGGTTTGGTGAGTCTGTGCTCCACTGTATAATCCGTCCAACGCTGAGCTGAGTTCTTTCTCGCGCTCAGACTTTTCACTGGCCGTGTATCAATCACTACAGTGCCAGTACCACTACTGTACCACTATTTCACTGGCCACCATATCAGTGCAGGCCGTGTTTGCTGTTTACTGGTCTAGTCACCGTCCAAAGGAAGATACCATGTGATAGGAAGTGAAGCACTTTGATGCTGCTGTGGTAGTGGCCAGATCTCGATGCGTCAACAGTCTAGTCAGTCAATTCACGACGAATTCGGTCAGTGCTAACGGAAAATCAGTCGTATGTTATGCACCATTTATGACCATATTTGTTCACCGTGAGACTCTAACTCGTGTTCATCTTTGTTTTTGCGCTGCATTGTGCCCATCGCTTCAGTTCACCATTCGACTAGCTTACTTGAACACTGCATTGTTGTACTGTGCATCCGTGGCTCGGGTGTGCCTCTGGAGGTCAATCTGTGGTTGACCTCTCACTCCGACCATTTATGTGTTCTCGGCCCCAATACAAGACGGTCAGTCGGTTATTTAAGGTCTTTGAATGGCGGCAGACCGTATCTCCGCAGTCCGCACCGGTATAACTTGCTGGATGAAAACCACTGACTTGAACACCATGCAATGAGTTTAGTTTTGATTTGTAAAGTGCATGCAACCGGCGAATAGATATACGCATTATCTCATCCACGGAAATACAGTTGTATTGTATATTTATTAGCAGGTTTCACTATCCACTCTATTTATTCTTTTTTTTTTAATAAACGAATCTGTCTTTAGTGCGTCTTGCAGATCATTGATATTTGATATCAATGTAAACAGACATGTAGTTATTTGCTATCATTGGCTGGATGATGAAGTACGGAGTATTGCTGGTCCATAGACCAAACACTTTTTATAAACGACCAAATAATTTGTCACGGAGCGTCCACGTGATATAATCGCGCCTTGTGCGCGTTTTTCGTCCCACTTCCGACTGACAATTGTGACGCTGTCGTGACGCCGGCTGCGTCGTCAAATGCCACCGTGCCTGGCCTGCCAATTGCGTCTCGGAGGCAAAAAGTGGTTTGTCGGTGGGCGCGTGTCGCCGTGTCGTGTGGCATGGCGTGGCTACCGGGTGTCGATGGTGACAGGTGCTACCGGGCGGTGTGACCCGACCCGGTAGGCAGCTGACCTAGACAACGGCTGACGGCGTGACCCAGACCGGGCAGAGAGCAGTGTGACCCGGCTCTGGCCGTTAGTTGTTATCTTACTGCGTGACCCGACCGGGCAGACCGCTGACCAACGCTAATGCGACCACGCGGGAAGCTGGTCCCGACCACAGCGGGCAGCTGCTGACCACGCGACATGACCAAAACCACAGCCGGCAGCTTGTAGACGGAAGCGTGACCCCGACACCGGCGGGTGACCGTAACCAGAGATAACGTGATCCCGAGTCTGACCGCAGACGCCAGCGTGACCCGATCACACACAGGGTCTGACCACGAGTACAGCCGTGACTCCGGCTTCTGAGACCGCAGGTGACCCCAGCACCGCACCGGCCGACATCTGGCACCGCGGGTTTGAGAGTTTGTGGGTTCGTGGGGTCGCAGTGGTGAATCGACGTGCAGTTTCGGGAGTTGTGGTAACGGCTTGACACCGGCTGCAGCCGAGTCTGAGACTTATGTAAGTCGGGTGGGCATATAGTGCCGGGCGGTGGCCAGTTGTGTTTCTGGTTTGTCACGGCGAAATAAGCGCTAAATTCGCGTGACAATGGCGTCAGCGGATCAACGTCCTAGGATAGCCACGACAGAAAACGGCTCTCAGCGTGGCAAATAAATCCGTCAGTCAGTTAGGACAGTGGCGGCGGAATAGGGGGTGCAGGGGGTGCAGCTGCACCCCCATCGAAAAACATGGGGGTGCAAACATATCTTTTTGCACCCCCAAAATCCGTACAAGGGGCCCGTCGCACCATCCAATGCAATTTTCTCCTGAAAACCAGTGATCGGGAAACGAACACTGATGTGGAATCATCCGGGATGTCCAATTATGATCAGGAGCGCCCCATGCTAGTCTTTGGGGCCCCCACACCGGCTAGAAGTGTCCCGAGAGCGTTTGGTGTTCCACGCGGCATCTGAGGGCCGCCCCCACGACGGCCTCAGAGGGCCCATTTATGACGATCTCTGAGGGATCCCACCTGAGGACTTTGTCCCCTGGGGCCCTACAACGGTCACTAAGGGCCCTCATGACGACCGCTGAGGGTCCCACAGAGACTCCAGGGCCCCAAGGAGACTCCAGGGGCCACGCTGGCCTCTGAGGGCCCTATGACGGCCTCTGAGGGCCCTTACGATGAACTCTGAGGGCTCTCACAACGAACTCTGTCCCCTGAGGCCCTATAACGACAACTAAGGGCCCTCATGACGACCACTGAGGGTCCCACAGGACTCCAGGGGCCCACTGGCCTCTGAGGGCCTCTACGACGGTCTCTGAGAGCCCTCATGACGGCCCTAGACCCAACTCAAGTCTGAGAGCCCATTTGGCTTCAGACGGCCCAGCGACGGCCTCTGAGGGCCCCAACACAACCAGGCTGCAGGAGCTATGCAGTATGCTGGCATCTGAGGGCTCTGCAACAATCTATTGAGGACCCTAACAAAGATGGCCTCTAGCGGTCTTACCAAGGCCTCTGAGAGCCCTGCAAAGGTATCTGAGGGCCCATGAAGACCCTCAATATGGCCAAGGACCCTCATGACGACCTCTGATGACCCTCTCGAAGGCTTCTAAGGGCCCTCACAACAACTTCTGAGGACCCCAGGACGGTCCCTGACGGGCTGAGGGCCCTGACGACGACCTCTCTGGGCCCTCACGATGGTCTCTAAGACCCAACGCAAGCTCCAAAGGCCCACACTGGCGTCTAAGGGCCCCACGACGGCCTCTGAGGGCCTCGACGCAGGCAGGCTCCAGGGGCCATGCTGACCTCTGAGGGCCCTCTTGACGGCTTCGAGGGCCTAACGAAGGCTTCAAGGGCCAGCGCTGGCCTCTGAAGAACCCTACGACGGCGTCGGAGGGTCTCAACTCAACGCAGGCAGGTGCCGGGAGACATGCTGGGCTCTGAGGGTCCCGCAGAGTTCAGATTCAGAGGATCCAACGACCTTTGTGGACCTTACGAAATACGAAGGTCTTCGAGAGCTCACGCAGGCTCCTGGAATTCCACACTGATTCTCAGGCCCCATGTCGGCTTGTTGAGGCACTTTATCTGCTCTTGGTGCCCCGTCGCCGGCCTCTGAGAGTCTCAATGTCGGAACTTATGGGGCCATGGGCCCTACACCGGCTTTTATGGCCCTTACATCGACTCTTGGGACTCATGACCCATGAAATGTGGGTCTAAGCATCTTCTAAGAATCCCCATGCTGGTTCTAGTAGCTGCCAGCCGAATATTAGGGCTCACACGCGAGCTCCTGGGACCCCATGCATACCCCAGGGGTCTACCTGCCTCTAAGACCCCACACATACTTTTGGGGCTCAAACGCTTGCCCCTGAAGACCCCACTGAGACCCCTTTCCTCTATTCAGTCTTCCATACCGGCTCTTTAGGCTAAACATCGGCTCCTGTGGCCTCCATCCCGGCTTTGGAGGGCCTCCATACAAGCTTTTTGGGGGTCCGATGCCGGTTTCTGAGAGCCCTTAAAGACTTTCGAGCCTATACTGCCTTCTGAAACCTTTCAGCAACCTTTAAGTGACCGACCCTGATCGGAGGGCTCATTCAATCTGGGGAGTCATGTATGTAGATCTCTGGAGGAGTCTCTATGTGGTCGGTTTCCAAGGGGCTTCTAAACACGGTCTTCTTGGAACGGTCTCGTAGGGCCCTCAATGGTCCACTGCGGATCCAGAAAAGTGGTTTGAGACGCTGCGGGTGGTGGCTAGACTACAGATTACAGATTGTACTATAGATTGTACTACAGATTTACTACAGATTGTAAAAGATTAGCCGATACAAAACTAGCTGCATTTGCTTCTTTATGCTTTCATTATTTGAGACAGGTAGGTACACTGCAATTTCAAACCTTTTACAGAACTTGTGTGTATGGGGATAGTTTTCCAAAATCTTCGTTTTTCATAAGTCAATAATAATCACTAAAAAAACTGAAGGGGGCCCAAAACTTCCAGAGGGCCCCTTGAGAAAACTTTGCACCCCCATCCAAAATTACCTTCCGCCGCCACTGAGTTAGGACCGTGACTACCTCACTCACGCTTGTGCCGATTCCGATTGTTGTTATAACAGTGCTTATCCCGACTTCGTCTTATCAGCTCCAAACCTCTCGACAGGGCCGGGTTTATAGGCACAGTCGCAACACCACTCAACACATCGGCTATTGATCGATAAGGCGGGACACGTCGACACTTTTCTTTGGTCCTGTCGCTAGAGGGAGGAATTGGGGAAATTGGCCATACTTGGGAACCTGAATCGAGCGCTACTCTCACGGTTTCCACGGATTTACAATACCTACACACTTCATAGCTAGGTTATTCGGAAACCGTTGGCGTTGCCGAGAAAACCGGCATTTGAATCTATAGTGACAGGCGTTTTTTTTTTCTTTCAGTACCTAAGTAAAGCTAACTTTGCGAACTGTAATTACCTCATAACGTATTTATGTAGGTATATTCGAAAGGAATTGTACCGTTTATCTGATAATTTCATGCTATAAGGATCTGTGCACCTGTTAAAAATAAATAAAAGGTTAAAAAGATTAAAAAATTGCTCTGAATTACACTAATATCCGTTTAACGGAATTAAATTCCTACCATTACTTACGACGACACCTACGAGCAGGTTAACCCGAGCACCTACGAGCAGGTTAAGGTTATGCCTGCGATGGAAAAAAGGAAAAATTAGGCAGATGACACCTGAGAGAGATAAATTGGAATAACATCAGCATGCATGAATTATTTTCGCGCGGTAGTTATGTTTTCATAAACTGGGTAGTTGGTGTAATGAGTAAGTTTGTGATGTGTTCATGTTCGCCTGTGTTTGTTCCAGTCGGCTGGCTCCCCGTGGCCATATAGTGGTCGCCACGCTTCGTCGCCCCGTGCGTAGGCGCCGTCACCGTCGGTGGTGATGGCCCACTGACCCCCACTGGATCGGACAAAACTGGACTGTGGCCCGTCCAACTGGGAGGTCACGCGCAGCGGCGCCCGACGCAGTGACGGCCGGACTAGCGGCCCCGCGGCACACCTCACGAAGTGAGGGACTGTCACATGCGGTAGCCACCGGCACCCTGAACATATGGAGTGCCGAAAGTAGGTAACACACTATAAACTTATAGGTTTTCTACTTTTGATAGACTATGACAGACATATCTCGCACTGCTGATCTGTCAAAAGGATCTATCAACAAACTAACGATAGCACGTCATGCATTAGTTAAAATCCCATCATCTTACCATTGGAATACACCGACGTAAAGAAATCCGAACAAACAAGCTCCGTAAATAAAATATAAAAACGAGCGAAGGTGGTTAAATGCCCCAAACTCTATCAAACCCGAGATCTGCAGTGGA